TTATATGAGAGGAAAATAAATAAACGCGTTGCGTTCACATTTTGATCTTATATGCATATCTGCACATAGTATATGCTTTACAATTTTGTTTTTATCACTGTCTTGGTACAGTAAGCCACTTAAAGCATTTTAGAAAGTCCCCTGTTCTGTTCCAAGTTCTGCTAATTCACAAGCCTAGTGAGAGTGAGAATAATGCTCGCAAATAAGGTAATGTTAACTATTAAACCAACCAAATCAAAACTTTCAAAAACACACATCAATGTGATTCTTTTATTGAGCGAGAGTCAGTGGGTTTAATCAGTGACATTAACAGATTTACTATTCGCCGTCTTCTCCGTGACCTCCTTCCCTTGGTGTTTTTACACATAGAAAAGGCGAAAAAACATATTGCATTGTCCAGTTTTCTCTCAGAACGATGATCTGAGTTACTATTGCAATTATCGATGCAGTATGAATGACATACACCGGTGACATTTTTCACAATCACGACAAACAATCAAATACTGCCCTAAACTCAGTAGTGGAAAGGCAGCTCTATCCTGCAAGTATGGCGGATAAACAAAGCAGTTTCCCAGAACTCAACGCGGCGTTACGTCACATTCTCATTCCTAATTGTGACTGTGACATTGTTAGCCTCCAGGATATCTAAAAATAAATAGTCTAAAAATATCCTTATGGCAAACATCTCAGGTGTCTGAGGAAAGAAAAACGGTCTTTTCTTGACTAAGGAGCATTTATTGCTTTCAAATGATTAAAAAACTGGGTCATCTGGCCATGACATAAAGTGGCATCTTATAAAATTGAATATAATGGTGTCCAGACTTTCTGTTGGAACACTTCTTTACAAAAGTTGTTTCAATATAGTTGGGTTGGCTAGAGTTCATGGTCATATGTGACATGATGACTCATTGTGTTTCCTAGAGGTGTGAATGTTTGTTTGTTTGTTTGCAGGATCTTGCATCTCTCATGGTAAACTGATTCCTCACAGAGCTTGTTTGAATCTCACAGCACATGGCTCATAGAGTTTCAGAAGATTTGGATGTAAACCTCGGGAACTGTTGTATTCCTCTGCACATTTGGCAAGGCAGGAGACTTCAGGGATCAGAGGAATGTTATGATTTAATGAGACAAGTTCAGCTGGCTAATCAAACAACTTTCAAATTACACACTGAGATGTAACAGCTGTGTACCAACTTTGCTGACCTGCTCAAAGGGGATATTCAATGCAAACCAATGATGATTACTTATAATCATACAAATGGGTCTTCCATTTATTTAACATAAAAGTATAGTCATCTAAAAGAGATGTGCTGAATGTCTGTAATTATGAATAATTTCAAGTCTAATTTTGTGCAGCTTGATTATAATACATGTGGTAACATTTATTTATTTACTCAGTACTTACAAAGCATGTATTGCACATGGACATATATTCTACATCCCTAATCCTACCCAATACCTAAACTTAACAACTACCTTACTAACTATTAATAAGCAGCAATTTAGGAGTTTAATGAGGCAAAAGTCATAGTTAATGGTTTGTTAACAGTGAGAATCAGACCATAAAATATAGTGACTCATGTCAGTCCCCTTTCAGATAAGCTTATTAGTTTACATTTGAATCAATGGCCTATATCACCTTTAGTTAACCCAGAATAAAGAACAATTCATTAAGAAATACAACCATGGCAATTTTCTCTATTATTTTGCTAAAGGGTTTGCCTTTGTGTTAAAAACAATTTATAATTAAAAAATATATGTTACTGTGCCATCTAGTGTGTTGGTCACCCATAGAACCTGACAGTGGAATAATCTCTGTAAAGGAATACATTTGCTAGCTCTTCATATTTCAGTTCTCATCGACTACAACATAATACTGCTGGAAATAAATGAATATGTCGATACCCGGTTCACTTAAAAGAATCAATACCCCTATATCCTGTCTCATTTGAATCATGACATGTTCTGCTGCCAGTGTATCCTCAAGACAAACAATATTTCTGCCATGAGCCACCCCCTCATACACTTTGGTTAAGCGACAATCTGAGAAAAATTATAATTGCAAATGGATTCCGTTTCACTGCTTTATATGCTACTCAGTGAACCATTAAAACCTCAACCCTCATCCAGGCTTATAACATGGAAGAACTGTTCCTGAAATTAGACATAAGAATAAGAAAGAAAAAAAACATAGATCTATTACATGTCATCATGCATGTTTCTTGTTTGGAAAGGTCTGGTCATAGTGTTTATCCCACCAATTAGCTCATAGTCTGCTCTGTGTTTCTGCTCTTTGTGTTTATACAGGATATATATATATATATATATATATATATATATATATATATATATATATATATATATATATATATATATATATATATATATATATATATATATATATATATATATATATATATATATATATATATATATATATCCTGTATTTTAGCAAACGCTTAGGTATTTTGTAGTCAGACAATAGCCTTTTTACCCTGTAAAAATAAATAAATAAATAAAAGTTTTTACAACTTTATCCCCCGGTTTCACAGACCAGGCTTAAACCTAATCCCAGACTGAGATGTAAATCTGAGCTGTTTCAACTGAAAGAAACTTGCACTGATTGATCTTAAAATATGTCAGTGCCTTTGTTTTGTCTCGAGATGCATACCAGTAATGTTTTTTTTTTCTAAGGCACGTTTATAAAAACTACTTGAATGTCCTAATTGACCTATTGCCTAATCCTGGTTTAACCTAAGCCCTCTCTATGAAACCAGGCCTATATTTTCCAATTGCAATGATATTTTTTCTAAAATCTGCCTTTATGTCTCACAGTTTTGAGTCTGATGCTTGTAATTATAACATTATTTATTTATTTGTTTGTTTATTTTTTTTTTTTTAATTGTGATATTGATGTATATCGTTTGTTGTTTCTTATGATTGTGATTTTATTTCTCATTACTGTGACTATATCTCACATCTGTGACTCTGTGTCTAAATTTCACAATTGCGACTTCATATCTCACAATATTACTTTATTTCTTACTTTAAAGTCAGAATTACATTTTCTTATTCTGAGGAAACTCAAAAGTTCAAAAGTTTTTAATCTTATGTTTATGAAGTGTTTACTGCAGCATGATAATGTTACCAAGCTCATTACAGTCACAATCCGCTGGCAATAAAAACGTGCTAAAATGAAAATGAGTTCATTCAATCTTCTCATAATTAGCATAAGGCTGCTTGAAATTGATGATTTGAGAAGAAATTAGAAGCTCATACATCAAGAAAATCCACTTTGATCTGTCAGTTGATTGAACTGGAGCTTCTGTATGACAATTTGATACCTTTTTAAATTATTTTTCCAATTAAATTCAGAGCCCTGTTTCTTACTATCCTGTCAGCATTTCCCAGCATTTGCTATCAAATCATGCTAGACTTTTCAGATTTGTGACCTTTTAGTCTGTTTTGCATTTCTTTCAGATGTGTCATGTCGCTCGCTCTACACACACTATACGATCATAAGTGCTAACAGAGAGACTCATTAATGGACCTCTAGATCATCGCAAATGTCAGACTTCTTATAATATGAGATCATTGTCATATTGTTCCTTTTTCAGATGTCTGTGAGTCATGGCCGTGAATAATCTTAAGGGCTTTGTTTCACATGCAGAAACCCTCATATGCATCAGTGAATGTGAAAGAATACAGGATATTAATATGAGAGTTTTTATTTTTATTATGTTACAACAATTTAATATCTGTGGTTGGGTAAATAATTGAATTAACATCTCTGATACAGAGGGTCCTGTTTTGTATTGTGGCAACCTTGTTGTATTGACACCATGTGACTCAGCTCTCAGTGTGCTCTGTGTAATATTGTGCTCTGTGGTGATGTAGATACTGCATATGTATGGCTGATGTCTGGATGTCAGACAGCGGGAAGACACATAACAAGGATAATCAATGCATAATGAATTTACAGGCCTTCAGTAAAACATCGTAGCCTTATGTATGAAAAAAAAAACGCCAGAGCATGACTAAACAGACAGGGTCATGCTGAGCATAAATCCATGCATTAAAGTATTTGGCACATGGTAAAATGGCTAGACAAGGTCACAAAACTTGAGTCAGAATCCATCTTTCCTTGTCTGAAGAATATCAAGAGGCTCCAAAGTTGTACAGTTTAAGAAGGAACTTCAATAACTTATTTACATATATGTTTGTAAAAGCTGCACAAAATAAATACATACATACATGCATAAAAACAGAGTGGGACAGCTGGGATGGCAGAGCTGGTATCGCGAGGGGTGTGTGGGGAACGAGTTACTGGCCCCCTGTTAATTGCAGAACTGTTTTTGTTGTTGTTTTTTAGTAAGAGGAAACTGGGCTGTTTGTCACTTTGTCACAAGGGCTATATCTCATTAACTGTAAAGTCCAATAAATTTTATGTTCCTGCTAAAAGTGTCTGCTAAATGAATAAATGTAAATGCTATCGCGAGGGGTGTGTGGGGAACGAGTTACTGGCCCCCTGTTAATTGCAGATTTTGTTGTTGTTTTTTAGTAAGAGGAAACTGGGCTGTTTGTCACTTTGTCACAAGGGCTATATCTCATTAACTGTAAAGTCCAATAAATTTTATGTTCCTGCTAAAAGTGTCTGCTAAATGAATAAATGTAAATGTATGTAGAACGTAAAGCATTACACATGATGATCATTTATGGAGTGTCTACGTCACTTATTGTAGTCCTCTCCGTATCAAGGTTTGTTTCCACACACATACAGTATGCGCTCTTCCGCTCTCAAGTGTTCTGAAGAGGAGGCAAACTCGAGATTCAAGAGCCTCGCCAATGAACGCACCAGCAGCAGGAAAAGCTGAATTTGTCTCAAGTAGGATGCCTCTTGGTTACCGTTACTTTTGCATATCTATTATTTACTCAGCATCATGTCAAGATAAGACGAGCCTCCTTTGTTCGACCTCTGTCGGTGAGATTTTGACTCTGTAGATCACCTGTACAGTTTGAGAGTCTGCAAAACTGTTCCATTTTTGTGTTGACCTGTGCTTTAAATTTAGTAGCGGCAGTAGTGGCAGGTGTGAATTTATAGCACACTTTGCGACTGCATCTTCGGAAATGACCAACAAATGATCAGCTTAACCTACAAGCTTAAATGTGTTTGTGATTGACTGGGAGGCTTTTTATTTGGGCTGCTGAGCCCTGCAACTGTATTCTCGCGCTGTGAAGACATTTGCGAGAATTTGACCACAGCATTAGATGAAGCATGAATTGAGACTCTTCACAGAACTTCCCGTGAATGGCATGGTCCACGCTGAGGTGTGGGGAAGCTCCGAAAGAATTTCCTCCGTGCATCAAGCATGCAATAAAAGTAACTTCAGCTGATTAGTGTTAAGGAAAGATGTTTTCTGAAGAAGCTAATTTCAGTTACATTTCGAACGGCACGGATGAGGACTTGGTGTCTGCGTTAGATGACGATTGGAGCGACACTCCGGCTGAGAAAATGTCACGGACGGGACATAATGTGGTCGCAGTTATTTTGGGATCTATTCTGATATTCGGGATCCTGAACAATTTCATCGTCCTCGTTCTGTTTTGTAAATTCAAGACCCTGCGGACTCCTGTGAACATGCTTCTGCTCAACATCAGTGTGAGCGACATGCTCGTTTGTCTGTTCGGCACCACGCTCAGCTTCGCGGCCAGTATCCGCGGTCGGTGGCTGGTGGGGAAACACGGGTGCATGTGGTACGGGTTCGTCAACTCATGCTTTGGTGAGTAAGAATATAAAACGAAAAAACAAACAAAGAATGCAAAGATAGATACAGTCATTGGGAAGCACCATAAAAACCGTGTTTCTTATCATAATGTGTAAGGCTAATAGCGGTAAACAAGTTTATCGTAGTTTTATTTCAACAGCTTTTACTTGTTTACTAATCACAATCCACAAAATGTTTCTTTTAAGTTGTTTTTTGAAAAGAGCACACGCCAATATCCGAATTTCTATGTTTGCGAATGACGAGCACAAAGAAAAAAACTTTACTGAATCTGTAATTGAGGTCCTGCTCGCGGAGGTAGAGGTTCGGGGACGCTTTTTATTTAATAATGTGTAATTTTTCTGTGGACAAACTGTGTTGTTATATTTTTTTTCAATTGACTATTATCAAAATGACTACTTCTAGAAGTAACAGAAATAATAATAATTATAGTAATTCTCAAACAATTAGGTTTCCAAATGTAAGAATAAACTACGAATTCAAGTAAAATTTTCAGTCATCTTATAAAAAGTGAGCCATCCTACTTTTAAAATCACTTGCTATGACAACTAAAAAACAGTTAACAATGTTATTGATTAGAATATAAAACTGTTATTGCACGGCATAGGCCTATTCTTATAGGCTACACAGACAAAACAGTCGGGGATGCGTTTATGCATTTTTTTCTATTTTACGCATTAGTAGTAAATCAAGACTTCGCAAGTTCTCTTGTAAAAAAAAACATGGAATAAACCGTGTACGGAGAACGAGTAGAGAACTCTCAACATTAGGCTACTAAAAAGGTCAGTTTAATCTCACAAAAATCTGACTACACTGCACTGCACAATTAATCTCTTACACTGCATCTTTGTTGTTTATGATGAATTCAGTGCTTGCACGTACACCGCTTTTATTATTATTGCAGCTTAGATGTTCAAATAGTTGCACTACTCCGACTTTGCCACAAGGAAAAGTGCGTACGCCTGCTCAGACCCTGACGTCGCGGTAAGTACTTCCACGTCAAAGACCGTTTTTATAAATATGAACGTTGCCGTGGATTTTAGCATACGCACACAAGATCAAATCTGTGCGTACGCACATTTTATAAATGAGGCCCCCGAAGTGGTTATGTGGCCACGACGCTGCGCCTATTAATGGAATAGTCTTTCTCAGTTCTCAAACAAATTAAGAACTACATTCGATATTGCGATAGAAAACACTGTAACGTTTCCGCTGATTAAGAAATATTTTTGTTTGCTCGGGTGGTAATATTAGGCCTATTATATTAATAGGGAAGGGGGGCCCAAAAATGTGTTTTGTCATGAAAAGAGGTAAATCCGGCCCTGCTCATAAAGACAGCTGTTTCGAGTTTTTTAACAAATTGGATGAATGACTGATTCAGTGACACACTCGTGGTGACAGTCACTTGTCGCTATCTACTGTTTGAATCAGGATCACAAACTTACTATATTAGCCTAATTATTTTTGGAATAGGCTCAAGGAAGGCTAGATTGTTTTTTTTTAAATTATATATATATTTTTTTATTTTGCATTTGCATTTAGTTTGCATTTACATTTGGTCTATTGTTTCTGATCACCACAAAATGAGGTTTATCACAAGCAATAAATAAATACAAATAAAAACAAAAATAAATCAGCAAGGGTACAATGAAGTAATGCTAAATAACTTCCACTGATCATTATGGACGACAACACTACACAGAGAAATTCAAAAACAGTTGAAGATCCTCAGTTTTGCCAATAAGAGTGTTGATCTGAAAGCCTTGGGCCAGGTATATGATTTGTATTGGCCTTGTCACTAGTGGAGAACTGGAAAGATCATGATGTGCAAAAGATGCAGTTATATGTTCACACTTTAGTTTCTGGACTACTTTTCACTATTAACTAGCTATTAACTTTTGCCTCAGTAAACTCTTAATTTTCTGCTTGTTAATTGTAGTTGTCAAGTTTTGGTATTGGGTAGGCTTAAGGAATCTAGAATATGCAGAATAAGGCATCAATATGTGCTTTATAAGTACTAATAAACAGCCACTATGTTAATATGCATGCTAGTTAATAGTGAGAACTGGTTCCCAAACTAAAGTGTTACCATAAAACTTAATTTACTTGTACAGATTTAGAAATGAGGATATCCTCAAAATTAGGTTTTGTCAGATTTAGCTCACTTCTGAGTACAAATTTACCCCAAAATATGGTTAAGGTAACTCCCTCTCTTGCACCCACACACTTTCTTTGTAAAACTACAGACTACAGTTTTATGTGTAACTTCTTTGGACTCTGGAAAATTCTTTGATGAAAGTCACTGTTGAACCACCCTCTGTAAATCATTCTATAATTGCTGAAAAGTATTTTTAATGTTCCAGATGCATTAATAAGGACGTTTAAATCATGTAGTAACTAATACATTTTGAATTATGCTCAGGGAGATCATCCCTGGAGTGCAATAAATGTTCTATAAAGCATTTACTTTGTAAGGTGAAAAATGTACTGCATGTTTAAATTCATCACAGTCCCTGGGAAGTTAAGCTTTGATGCATGGGAAAACAGCTGCAGTATAGATGTGGAACACAAGACAAATTAAGATAGAATTAAATGTGCAAGCAAAAAAACTTTGTGACATTGTGTGTGTGTGTGTGTGTGTGTGTGTGTATGTGTATGTGTGTTTGTTTGTGTGTGCACTGGTTTGGGTGGTTTATGAGGACACAAATTTGTATAATGACATGGGTATGACACAGGTATTACAATATGAAGGTGGTTTATGAGGACACTTCCTGTGTCCGTGTAATTCAAAAGGCTTAAAAACTTATCTAAAAATGCACAAAGTTTTCTGTGTGGGGTAGGTTTAGGTGTAGGGCAATAGAAAATACAGTTTGTACAGTATAAAAACCATTACGCCTATGGAGACGGAGAACAATATATCCTAAGAAAACCAAATATATTTTATTCCATAATTTCAAATGTTCCTCAAAAGACTAGTATGGAAGAAAATTAATGACAAATGTCTTTGAAACAAAAAAGCATGCTGAATTGCTGAAAAAAATAATGCATTGAATTAACAGTGCTTGAATTTTTAGGTGCTGAAATTTAACATAGTTGTTTATTTATGCTGTGAATATTTCAATTCAAAATATTTCACACACCTTTTCATAATTAAAAATTCAATATTTCCCATTCACCTTCTAGAATTCACTTGCCAAATATTCAATCTGTTTAAAAATACGATGTATAATATTCGACAGGTAAATTTCGGTCGATTTTATTTCACGTTCCAAATTCGCTTCTACAAATTCAGCAGAAAAATTCGGCATTTCACATCCGGGAGCTGCAGGAATAGCAGTAGAGCGCTGATGCATGATCTCCAGCTGCCTTCAGTCTCTCACCAGCAGGCGGGGGAACCAACTACAGGTAAGCAAATGAGGCAATGCAACTCGCTGCATTTTATTTCTAATCGCTTTTCTAGCACCATACAGTTAGTTTTAGGTTCGATATTCACAGTACATTCGCTTTCCCTTGCCACTGATTTACAGAGTCGACAGTCACAAAGATATCACTACCAATAGTGATTAGTTTAACAATATGCAACCACTTTATATCAACGTAAAAAAAAAAGATTTAAAAACCTAACCGCCTATGTGTATTGTAGCAGCAAATTTAAACCGTAGAAAGCTTTGACGCGCTATCGCACCCAAGGGACCCTCTGACAATTTCACCGACTGGGTTAAAACGTCCAATGTATTTTATTAGAAATAACTTTTAACATTTAAAATAACACACTTTCAAACTGTAAATCCTTTATTACTCATAGTGATTTACTACAGGTGATATTTTGCCAATAACTCCCTCCATATAGTACACAATTATTTTCATTAAAAAAAAAATCATGTTCCAACAGTTGTAGTACATTGCTAGATATAAGATTGACTTATTACAGGTTATATTTTGCCAATATCGCCCTTACGGTATGTACAGTATACAAATTTATTTTAAAAACAAAACTACAGTAATTAACCAAAAGTTTTTTTTCATGTTACAAAGGTTGTAGTATGTTGTTAGTTACAAGACTGACTTACTTCATGGGAAATTTTGCCAATATCTCACTTACTGTATGTACCGTTCACAATTATAAAAAAAACAAAAAAAACAAACTGTAAGTCCCCAAAAGGGTTTTTTTCATGTTCCAAAGGTTGTAGTATAACATATTGATCTACTCTATGTACAGTAAGGATGATATTAGCAAAATTGTACCTATAGTAATTAAGTCTAGTCTAGGTTTGGGTACCGAAACCCGGTACCAATATGGCACTGGTACCTATGTAACCGGTATGTACTAGAACCGAATCAGAACGCAGATTTCGGTGCCTCATTTCGGTGCCATGCCTGAGTGATCGATTTAAATATTTGTCCCCTGGTTCTCTGAAACGGACGTAAGAAGCATCATCACCGGCACCGCACGTGAAAAAGAATTTCCAGACTGAGAAAATGCACGTGAACTCAAGTTGGAAAGCTCTAATAATACAAATCCAACAAATCTTTGTAGTAAGGAGAGTGTCCATGTTGTTTTCACATTCCGACTTAAAAGCCCAACTCAGTAAATGAGAGCATCCGAGGAGCACGTGAATGTAGTAATTACACTTGCTCTGATGGCAGCAGGTAGCCTTCCGCTAACTAAGCTAAATATGCTTAAATTAAAATGCCTAAAGCTAAACATCGCTTGTATTCACATTTCGAAACCTGTTGTCCAAGAAAAGAGAACATTATTACCTTTTTACTCCACAACACCAGTCAAATGCTTCCTTTTGTGATCTGATTTGGCTTCTTGATTGAACCACTTGATTGGCATATGACTCTCTCTCCTCTTCACCTGTAGCTGGTGTGTGGTGAGCGCACTGGCGCCGCTGTCTTGTGGCTGCCGTCGCATCATCCAAGTGGATGCTGCACACTGGTGGTGGTTGAGGAGAGACCCCCCCATATGATTGTAAAGCGCTTTGGGTGTACAA